CACGCAGTCCAGCCCACCCCACTTTACTACCTGCAGGCAGTGCGTGTACGTTGTGACTCGCTCTCTTTCCTCGCTTGTTTGTTGGCTGGCTACAAGTGAAACTCTTCCTCCATCATTCCTTTACATATTTCATCATGATGCAATCCAATCGCTCGTAACAAGATCCGCCAGCCCCAGTGTAAGTTCCTCCATTCATCCCACCACAATCATCCCCCCTTCTTGCAGGGCATCGGAGTCATCGGAGTAAACCGCAGTTTGAGACATGGTGCAACAAGGCATGGCGCTTGTGCGGTGGATTTTGCGGACTGATGATGCGACAAGTTTGATCATGCCATGCCTCCGCCGGTATCCATGCGGAAACTAACCTGAATTGACACTGCAAGATTGTCTCTTTCGTTGTTTGCGCCCTTCAATGGCGTCAAACGACTGCTTCTTGTCCGTAGCCGCCCAGGGTCATCAGTCTTCGTAAAAAAAACTTCGTTTGGTCCTGCACAGGGATCTTGATTAGCATTGTGCGCTAAACAGCTTGGTTTCATATGCAAGATTGATGTCCAAATTCGTTAGGCCCTCGTTCCTGGTCGAGCCTACAATGTGTGTGTAGGTCGACTCGATCAAACGTGCTCCTTGTGCCCTGGAGATGGCGGAATTTCCCTCCCTTCCTGAATCGGTGAATGAAAGTCCCCCTGGGCTGAGATAAATCTGCCTCATTCTACCAGCTCACTTGCCAGGGTTCTAATAAAATACTTGCTTACTGTAACAATGTCCAGAAGCCAAGTAATCTTTTACAACGCCCGCTAAATGCACTCACTGTCTACGGAGTAGAGCGGCCCTAGTAGTAATAAGCCATTAGATAATACGTACAATTAAACTTCGCCCCCTGCCGTCACAAAACAGCATAAGCCGACACATAGCTGACACTGAAATCGCTGGGTTTGTCCACAAGATTGCTACGTTGGTACTGTGTGATTTTGAACCGAAACTTTGTGTCATCATTTGTCTCCTTGGCAAATAACTCCAACGCGGCCATGGCTACGCCGATGGGATGTCTGCCACAGACCGTGTTTTTCGTCTGTTCAAGGTTATCAACAAATGCATCGTGGCTTCCGCTCTTGACGGCATCCATGGCTGCCTCATCCAGCAATCTGATGGTTTCGTGAATGGGGGCACCGGTCGGCCTACTGTCTGACCTTCGCAGATTCACCAACTTGGTAGGGTCGTTCTCCGGCGAATAGACCATGTACTGAAAATTGGCTCCCCAATGACAGAAGTCAGAGCTTATGATGAAGGCGTTCCCTTCGTCTTTCAGGTAAGGAACCAGAATTCTGCCCACGTTCTTTTCTTCGTATCGGTCATTATCTCCGATCAGGATTGGGACAATGGCGGGAAATTGATCCGGCGAGCCAAACGTCTCTTCGCAACGCTTGTATAGGTACGGCAGATGCATTTCCAGAGAGTGCTCTGCCGAGTCTCTCGATTTGGGAATATCGGCCATCTGCCCTGCTCCTTTCACTCTCTGGATCACGTCGCGGTCTACCGTGAAGTCGCCGAATGGCGTGGCATACTTGTCGTATGTAGTCACGGCACATCCATCAAGATAGTATGTGTGAGAGGGGCCGAGCACGAACACTCGCTTTACTTTGCTGAGGTCCAGACATTTATATGCCCAGGCGGCGCAGGGTCCCGAGAAAGTGTATCCTGCGTGACTGTAGGACGTTAGGTTTTGTGTTGAGCAACTATCCGTCCGAGACAAAAATGAGGTATGACATGTACAGGAGCCTTACGGTGCAATTACAATTCTTGCTCCCCTTATGGGCAGTGATGAACCATCTATCATGTTGGGAACTTCAGATAGGTAATCATCTAGCTCTCTCCCAAGCTCATCTGGCGAAGCTACATACCAGGAGCCTGCTTTTCCGGCGTGCCTGGTACTCATTTTATGATTTTTTATCTTTTTTGTGGCTAGGGGCAAAGGCTGGGGGGCGAATGCCGGTGAAACCCGAAACGGAGCGATTTGCAAGAATCCGAGATGTCGAAACGGAGAGCCAGAGAGAATTCGCATTCAGACCGCAGTGATGTGATGAGAATATGACAAGATGGGAAACGCGCACATCATCCATGGCTGGAAGCTGTCACTGTCGGCCCCGCTGGAGTCTGCTGCGGGGTAGCAGCAGCCCGAGGGAAATGAATGCCAGTCAGAGAAGGCGAGATGGAGGCCCGCAGCATCGAGACGCACTAGTCGAGAAACCTGGATTTCCTTTTCTTTTCGCGACTGTTGTTGGTTGTTTCTTCCCCGTCAGACTTTCAATTTCATCGTCAGTTGAACAAAATCAGATAAAGTTGAATAGCATGTCAATTTTTCTGCCCAGCCACGCACACGCACGTGCTTGCTAGAATGACGGGACGGAGCATATATGCCTTCAAAATGATGGAATATGGACACGGACTATTGTTTCTCTTTTTTGGCTGTAAGCTCAATTACACACGAGGACAGCCTCTCGGTCGTATGTTGTGTCAAATACTACTCGTGACTTCAGTTTCTTCATGACTTACACGATTGGTACGGTACCCATGCACAAGTATGCCCAAACCTTATATTGAAAACCATTTGCTTACACCAAGCTGCTCATATAGACCCATTTTATCTGCGATGGAGAGATATAAAGTTCCAAGTCAGAGACTTTTTTTTCTTCTTACTCAAGTCTCATTTCAGGCCTCAGCCTGACCAATTTGTTCCGACAGCGCCGCAACCACAGGGTAGGCAAGACGTGGAAAAAAAAAACCTGGCCTTGGATCCACTTACTTTACAGAAAAAAGTACCTGCCACCCAATCAACGACACCAATGGATGCTTTTACTAGCGGAAAAATTAAAAATCCTTCACAGCACCATTGAAACAGGAAAAAGGTTCTCGAACAGGATTTCGGGAATATCACACCGAAACAACCATCACCACCCATTGAAATCCAGCAAACACACAATGTCATTTAGAGGCGGCCGCGGCGGCGGCTTTGGAGGTCGAGGCGGTGGTGGTTTCCGAGGTTAGTCAACTCTTGGTGAATTTTTTTTTTTCACACAGCTCATTCCGACCATCTGGGCCGTCCAGACGAAGGGCAGGTCCCAGAGGAGTCGACTAGCCTCGCCAGAAAACAAATTGAAATTCCATGAAGCTGACTACCTGTGGTTCTAGGAGGACGAGGCGGTAGCTTCGCTCCCGCTGGCCCCCCCGCCGAGGTCCTGGAAATGGGCACCGTCGAGCACGCTGTTGAAGGCGAGATGTTCTGCCGCTCCTCAAACGTCAAGATTCCCTACTTCAACGCCCCCATCTACCTCGAGAACAAGACACCCATCGGAAAGGTCGACGAAGTGCTCGGCCCCATCAACGAAGTCTACTTTACGATCAAGCCTCAAGATGGCATCGTCGCAACGAGCTTCAAGTCCGGCGACAAGGTCTTTATTGGCGGCGACAAGCTCCTGCCGCTGGACAAGTTCCTGCCCAGGCCCAAGGTCCCCGGTGAGAAGAAGCCCAAGCGAGCGGGAGGTGCTCGTGGTGGCCGTGGTGCCCCCCGTGGAGGACCCCGCGGTGGTGGGCGCGGAGGACGAGGTGGTCCCCGTGGTGGCGGCGGTTTCTCAAGGGGCGGTGGCCGTGGAGGCTTTGGTGGTGGGCGAGGAGGAGGTTTTGGCGGCGGCCGTGGAGGAGGTGGTCGCGGTGGCTCTGGAGGTTTCTCCCGAGGCCGTGGACGTGGTTTCTAGTCGAAGCCCGGGGATCGCAATGAGAAAAGAACGGGGAACAAAGACGGTAAACCTGAGACGATGTGATACAACTTGTGTGGAATGTGCGTTGTCGTTGCCGTTGTTCCATCCACGGATGGAAGAAGAAAAAGGCAGTGTTTTTGCAAGGCACACACGATGGGCGTTAATGGACAGATTCTTTTGGCCACTGTGGTTCTGTACGGTGGCATAGTTGTGAGCTGTTATGGATTCAGACCGTCAAAATCTACCCATTTGGCTAGAGGGGTTTTGCACTTTATTCTTTATTTCATTTTGGGATATATGGAATTGAAAACAGCTTCGAAAGGATCGTACTGGGACTTGTCTGCATTCATGTGTTGAGTAATGCTGGTACTTATCGTATGTATCGTCCCTGGTCCGGAATGACATAGCACCTGGGACACATTGATGAAAAAAAAGCGAGGGCTTTGTTCCAAATGCTTGGCTGATAGGCAGGCAGTCATGGATTGAGACACCACTTCATGTCCCATCCCGGGCCCAATGCAACTTGAAGTCGTCACCACCGTAGCAAAGCTATGATCTGGAAGCAATTTCAAGTCTTCAAGTCAATTTCCCTCAACTATACCCCCGAGGCCGTAAATCACCCATCGTGATCTCGTAGAGCCAAGTGCTCTTCCCCGCCAGCCGTAAAGCACGTATGTATAAGCATTGTAGTCTTCAGTTTCAGCACAGCACGATTCCACTTACAATCCGAAGGAACCCATCGCGTCTCGGAACCCATCGCGTCTCGGAACCTGATGATGAACAAACAGCGCGAAGGCACCCCTCAGATGCCATTTAGTCCTGGATTCCCAGATCCTAGGCGTGGACTGCCCTTTGATAGGAGAATAATCTATTCCGTAACTATACTCTGCGAGGTAATGAGATCATCTCGGTTTGGAATGAATCGTCGATATCCAGACTCCGGCGGTATGGGATGCACCGTCTTGCTCAAACTGCATAGCGATCCTGCGCAGTCTTTTAACAAAGCAGTCTCATTGTATTTGCGAGACTCTAGACGTATCAGAGGAATAGTTAATGCCTAACAATAGGAAATCCCGCCCCCAGCACCACGACCACTGACCAACAAGCAGCTTTTCTACAACACCTAGAGAAAAAGTATTAAAGCCTCTTGACTCACACAAATCAATAGCAGAACAGCAAAAAAAAAAAAAAACCCTTCATCACATCTCAATCGGTATCAATCTGCAAAAACATGAATTGCAAAATATATGTCCCCGGTGAGAGTCGAACTCACGACCTTCGGATTACTCCAATGTCGAACTGGATCATATGTTTATGAGACCGACGCTTTAACCAACTAAGCCACGGAGACTAACATCAACTGTTGGACGACTGTGGTCTTAATTTGCTATATTCAGGCTTGCAAAAAAAAAGTACACCATTGGGCCGTGCTTAGCACGTTTAAAAGTCTGGCCTCGTGATCATGACGAGGGCGTCAACAATCAGAGTTGCTGCACAAGGGCCTGTCATGCCCGGCAAGAACAATCTGTGCTCCTGCCATCGTGGCATGTCAGCACGAAGCAAAAGATCAATGTCAACAAAGCCCCCAATAGCCAGCCTTGGAACGGCGATTCCTTGAACATAGAATCCTTTCCCCCTCGACGACTTCTGGTTCTTCAACTCGGATGAGAGCTTCTTCCAACCGACTGAACGGTAAGTCTTTTAAGACCTGCTAAACTTTCAGCTCGTCTAACGTTAGACGAGTCCTGGGAAAGGGATGATTCCCAAGAGACAATGATGCCGTTCGGTTGTCGTCCCTGGGTTGGTTTGGGCTAATATTTCGCAACCTATACGGCATGAAGAGGACGTTGTTGCTTTGCAACCTGGTGCAGAAGGTATTCGTGGGACTGGTCCCCCGCCCTGCTACCGGAAGCATGTCATATTGAAGGCGTTGACGACTTGGGTAAGTCAGGCCAAAAACACAAATTTGAAGTGCAAGCAATGGCGTGTGCATATCCGTGCGCTTTTCAGATGCTTTTCGGAGACCCTTGAAGACGTTCAAGATGATCACATGAACTTGACCACGGCAATGTATTGACTGAACCTGGTCACAAAATATGAGCAACAGTGGCTCCTTCGTATTGTGAGATTGTCTACTGGAACTGCGACCCGACTGAAACTGCCAGCCATTTTTGATGGACCATCTATATCTCGCAATAGGAGGCTTGATAGCCACAGCCTATACTTTAGGCATTCATATGATGTTGATATGCCAAGTTGTACAGACCGAAACCCCCTTTAAACTTCATCCCACGCTTGGATCTAGTGGACGGTCTCAAATACGATACGAGGTATTGCATTGCCATTAAATACGTCTTGATTGCGTGTCTGTCGCCCCCCCCCCCCCAAAAAAAAAAAAAAAGACTGACAACAAGACTAAAGAGTCGACGCCTGCTTCAAACGCATCGCATGATGGGTGGGAGTGAATGCGTCAGGTCAATGCATTTCAAGCAGTCCAGTTCTCTGGAACCGCACATCTACAAAGCTTGCGCGCTCAGTCCACGAGCAGTCGCATTGACGAAGTAGGATGATCGTTTGTTTCCCATCACCGAGTGGAACATTTGACCGTTCTGAAGACCTTTGAAAACAAACGGAGTAGTGACGTCTTGTATCAGTCATGATATCCCTGGACGACAAGTAGGGAACAAGAAGCTATTTCTTCAAAACATGAATGGCGAACAAGTGCAGTGACATCCTATAGGCGGGTGAAAAAAAAAAAAACCTGTCCCATTCAATAGACCTTAAGGTCTTGCACGCCTACCTAATTGTGATGGAGATGTCAACCACAGCTCTTCCGAGGGATGAAAGAAGAAGCTATTTCTCATATGTTTACCGCCTCTTCAAGTTGCTACCTTTTCAACCCATGACTTCATTTTTCTTCATTTTTCATTCCCCGGGCAATACACTTTCCAAGCGACGAGCACCTCGGGCCGAAATGCAATTCCTGATGCCAGATGCTGCGAGTTGGGAACGCGCTTCAGCTTCACATGCACCCATTCTGCAATCATGAATTATAGTCTTTTGATAAACCGTGTTGAAGAACACACCAATTTACCCCCCCTTTTCGAAATCAAAATCGAACAAATTATTCCCAGCCAGATTTCGTGTCTCAAACTCTCCGCAGACAAACCCCATTTTACAGTATCGAGAAAAACCGTCCGTCCCATTTACTCCCAAGTTCCCTTGCTACCAGAAAACAAAAGTTCAATCATCAAGTCGAGCACCCCTCTGCCTTTGCACCATCTACTCCAATCCAGATTCCTTGCTGAAGCCCCCGCAGGGCCCTGCAGGGAAACAAATGTGACGCACACGTACGAATACATGAAAGCATCGTGGGCGCAGTCTTCTGCGCGTAAAGTGTGCGGCCATGATGGCAATCTCACCACACCACCACACCAGGGAAATCTAGCGCAGTTCAGCGTGTCTTAACTTGTTGCTCTTTCTCAATGCCACGCGACCCGACTACATGGGGTTGAAAAGTCTCGTCAAGTAGAACTCTGCATGCGAGAGCGAGAGCGAGGGGGCCCCTTTCTAGCACGGCGACATGTTTGCCGTTTCTTCTATTCAGGAGCTAATCAGCTCATGGCGTCTTAGTATTAGCCTGATATTGCGACCCAGATCGATCAACAAACAAACAAACAAACAAGAGTGCGGGAGGTCGCACTCGAGGTGGCCGCCTCCAATTGCAGAAAGTGACACTACGAAAACGAAAATAAAACACAATCCGCCGTGTTCTCTTCCTATGCAGCTTTTTTTTTTGTTGTTGTTGTTGTTGATTCCCGGGCCTGTGCTCACAGCCATGAATCTCTTGGGACGGAGTAAGAAGGATGGTTGGGAAAAGCCCACGAGTCGACTTGTGACAAAGCTGTTTGGCGTCACAGCACACAGCACACGTGAAAAAAAAATTAAAAATAAACAAATGACTATGATAGATACGTTGGACAAATCTCGCATCATGGTCCCTTAAACACTAGCTGCAAGCTGCAAGATCTTGCGTTGGCGTGTCGCGAATATTGATCTGGGTCCTATTATCTTCTTCTCCAGGGCTGCCATCGTATCCGTTCTGATTGTGAAAGCGACCCAGTGATGATGCTCGGTTAATGCGGAGTAGATCAATCCTTGTTGGACGCCAATTTGTGGGTTTTCCCGGTTTCGTTTGCCCACGCGTGACCTCAACCTTGGAAAATGCATGTTTCGGATGGTGATGATGGCTGCAGGTCACGAGCGGATTCCCGAGTTGAGGCTGCTCAGGACATGGGGGCATTCGGATCGTACGTAGATGCATCGAGTCCCATCATTGCATTTTGCCGAGCATCACGCTAGCCAGGTCCAGGTCCAGGTCCCCATTCCCGGCCACAGCAACCAAGATTGACTGCGCTGTTTCCTTGCCTTCCTTCGCCTTCGGGGAAAAAAAGCTTCACCTTTCAAGAGAGCTTTTGGCTTGCATCCATAGCTGCTTCTGGCGATGTCGAGCTAGCTAGCTAGCCAGCTCACCTCGCGTGAACAACCGACCGAGATGCCGGCTTGTTCGCTCGCTTGGTATCGTGATAAGCCTTGTTTTATGTATGTGTAGCTCGTCATCATCACAGCACGGCGGGGGCTACCAGGCATATCCATCCTGAGCAAAACGGTTGGTCGAATCCCTCTTGTCTCTCTGCGCCTTCGCTCGTCGCCCTGGTGCATATCTTCTCATCCAACGGCGGTGGCTTGGACCGACGGGCTACTCGAGTGATAAAACTAATAAAGGGGCCTGAATGAGTTCTTGCTAATCTGTAAGAGCTGAGAAGATGCTTGGCGGGGACTTTGACCGATGATCGAGAAAATCATGTAGGTCATCGACGATGTCCATGTCTTTCCGACCATGATTCGACTTGCTTTCCGATGCTGCAATTTCGAAGCGTGTGTGCTGTCGTGATGTTATGTTCCGAGTTCTGTGACCGTCGCCCAACCTCGAAATATTTTCCCAGGCAGCTTTACCGTCGGCTTTGAGAGCTTTGTGCGCTGGCCTAGCGGATCACAAAGTTGTGGAATGACGTACGTAGAGGGAATGGCCCGCTCGTCGCCAACCATTCTATTTGATGAGAAACTCCGGGGAAAAAAAGAAAAAAAAGTTGACGAGGATGGAAAATACGTAAGATTAACAGCCGTTACCGTGGATATTCCTAATATTCCTATCAACTCGGGTAAGCCGGGCCTCCATGGACCCCTCTTCATGTCCAGTCTGAATTTTTCCCTTTCCCCTTCTCTCATCTCCTACCGCTTCTTCCAAGCCTTCTTGGCTTTCGAACTGAAGGGTTCATGGGCCGAGCTTTTTTTTCTGAGCGGAGACGAGGCGGAGCTCTCTGTGGATGACGATATTTTTTTTTATTAGATGGGGATGGTGGTGTACGGATGAAGAGGGGCGACGGCGACCCTGGCCATGTAAAATCAAGAAGAGGGACTCTGACTTTTGGTCAATTGTGCGGTTCGCTCATGTCCTCTCTTCTTGGAGTACCGAGTGCAAAGCAGACGCATGCAAAACTTGTGCATATGCAAGCACTTCGTGCTCCGTATCAAGTCGTATACAAGTCAAGATTGACGAAGACAGGGTTCTCTTCTCTGCCCATGAGCCGCCTCCAAGATTCCAAGACACCAAGCAGCCTGTTACTCGCCGTGGGAACGGTGGACTCTGTCCAGGGAAGGGGGTGTGTTGAAGTGTATTCTCTCTCTACTCCGCACCATGACAAGAGTTGTTGAAGCGACGCCCGCTCTGATGCCTGCCAGGTTCGAGGCTATTGCTGCAAAATGGCTGCACGGTTAACCGCGATGAGAGACGGCATCTCTCCAATAATCGTCTGCTCTTGATCAGAGAAGCGCGACTCTTTCGCGCGTCAGCGGGGCGTTTCCGTCAAAGCTCGCCTGTCACGTTTGAGGCTCCGCTCGAAGCTCTCGCCAAGCAGGACAAGCAGGACAAGCAGGACCCCAGTCGACTTATTGAATATCAACGAAATTTTCCAAAATAGATGGGCAACAGAGAAAACAGAGTGAGAGTGAAAGACTCCGCTATTACACGGAGTACTCCGTCCCAAGCTAGGTCCAACGACCCGCGGTGCATCGGCCACCGCTCTATGTACTCGGTAGGCGTGTCATGATCCTGCTCGCCTGCCAAGCTTCCTCGTCGGAGCTTTGGAGTCGGATTGTCGGTATTTTCCAAGCGAAGGCCAAGGTCTGTCGGGCCACCAGCGGAGCTCGATATTAATAATATGGTCGCCGGTATCGCATCCATCCAAAAAAGGAGCATGATTGAAGCCAATTGCTGCAAGTCCATTGTCG